CTTCAGAGTGTCCCCTCATTCGACATCCCTGACTTGCTTCCTGAGGACCATCATCACGGGTGTCAGTAGGTAGAAGGGAGAGAAACTGGTGAACCTCAATTTGCAGATCTCCTCCCCGCTAAATGGAGAAGAAAGTGACGCTGATTGCATCACCTCCAGTTTGTCAGCTGTCTTTTCCCGGCTAGAGAAGCTGGGGAAGAAGCTATTCAATCCCAATCTGTGCTTGAATAGCTTCTTTGAAGTGGAAAGGTGACACTAGGGGTCTAATAGACCCCTAATGTTACTTTAAAGAGAATCTGTCACCATTGATATACTATCACATGGGGGCTCGTGAGTCCCCCTATGTGATAGCAATGAAGTAAAATAAAATACATGAAAAAAAAATGTAAATTCCCCTGCAAACACGTGCACAGTAGTATAAACACGCATCAGGTGTAAGAGGGTTAAGGGTTGATGCGCTTCAATACATTAAATCTTTGTTTTTGGGTTTAGATATGTTTTAAGGCTTCATTCTGTTTAACTGTTAAGCTGCTGATTATTTTTTTGCAAGAAAGACTTTGATTATACAAATTATTATTTAAGTTCTTAAAACTGCTTAGCATTCAGTCGAGACAACATACCACTTAACTTTTATGGAAAGTACTGTTATTCTTTTAGAAAATAGCCTCATTGGCTTTACCTTTGTGACAGTTATGTTGTACAGTTATATAATCTGTTCAATTTTATCTGCATAACTACACTCGCCCTTTTTAATTCTGTAAAACTTTGCATCTACAATCACAACACCAATTGAAACATTTTACTATAAATTTTACAATGTTTTACATTAGTGACAGGTAGTCATAATATATAATAGACATGTGTGATTCCTTTCGTTCCGAATCGAAATTCGGACAAAATTTCGGAAATTCGTAGATTCGGAGCATTTTAATTTCCGAAATATAACATATCCGAAATCATCCGGATCTGAAATTTGGGATTTGGAACTAATTTTGTCCAAATCCTGTGCATGCACTGTTAACATTTAAACGGATAAAAACAAATTAAGTTGAATTTTCGGGAATTCGTCCGAATTCCGAATCCCGAATCAGATCAGAATCAGATTCCCAAAACGAAACACATATAGGATCCGAATTCCGAAAACAAAAAGCAACGAATTCCGAAACGAAACACATTTTTAGCCGCTGCATATGTCTAATATATAATAAATCTTGTATCATATACTGTAAGCACTCCTACTTTAAAGTTTAACAAAATACTAATATTAACCATGTACACTTAAATATAATATAGAATATATTAGTACATTTCAACTGTGGGTGGTTGTGATAATCAAAAAGTAAATTGTATTACCAGCAGTTTTCGTATAGGATTTCAAGGATTTGTCAGCCGTCACAACCATGGGCAATCTTGCTCCTATTATATTACATTCTATTATTCGAAATATGCTGGCAGATCAGGATAGCAAGTGTTATAAATTAAATATTTAACATTTTTGTTTCCAAAAGCACACACTATATTCAGAACTATTTTCCACAATCATATCTTATACGTCACTGTTTATTTTTACAGCAACTGATATTCAAGATGTTTATAACTTATGCCAATATTAAAGAATTTCATGTCAGTCATCTTATGATGCATATTGAAATAATTGATATGTTTCCCTATTAATAAATAATGGAAAAAGGTTTAGAAAGTTGCAATTGTTGAGGGTTCCCTTTTTTTCTAGAAGAGCTGTGATCTAGGCTTTGCTTTTAGGGTCACATCCACCAAAAGATGGACATTATAAAGCCCTCCTAGATTAAGAACTGCCAGCCATGAATAAGACATCATATTCCTTCAGACTCCTTCAGCCCAAAAGCCACTTGACAAAAAGAAAGGAAAACTGTTACTTACTGGAGGAATATTGTATTATTTAATGCTGTAAAGACCAGGTTCCCAGCATGCCTTCTTTGCAAAAGATAACACACAGTAAGGGTTCTGACATCAACAATCCTTATTACTGCAGAATATTTTTTTTCACAGGAACCACAATTTTGACTTTTTGATGCACAGGCATATCCCTCATGTACAGGTTTAAGCAATGCAAGTTTACTACTAGTTTGTGTTATTCTTCTACATATACCTGTTTGTCTAGTTTTTGCAGTAAAGCAAGGAAACTAACACAGTAGTATAATGATGTGCTTTTCGTAAACAAGGATGCTGTGTGTACATACTACTTACAGTAAGTTACAGGAAAACCATACAAGACTTACAGGGGGCTACAAATATGCATACATACACAAAAGCATGATGTCTATTCTTTCATAGCAGATGCAATATCTGTAAGTAATAGGGCCACGCTAAAAGTCACATAGATTCTGTTATAGTTGGTCCACAATTTCCTAGTGAACAGGACCCAGGGCATTTAAGTGATAATAGAAAAATAGGTTCTTCTCTTGTAGTGCAGCTTTAGTATGTCCCGTGTCACAGTCCTTTGGTAGAGCCTTCCTTCAGCTAAAGTTGCAAGCTTTTTTATATTTGAAAGTTTGTAGTTTTTGCCACATGGACATAGCCCTTTCCACAGCTTTTCTAAATCGATTTCTAGGAGGGGAGCATTTCTGTCTGCAGTTTCTAGAAGGCAGCACAGTTTCATAAATGCCATAGTTTAAACTATGTCAGAAGGTCAAACTATTGTTGATTCTTATTGACATGCTGCTTTAAAGCTTGGGTCCAAAGTTTCACTAAGAGCTCCTTTAATCAAGGGAAACAGCTAATATGTGCACTTTCTTGGCAAATAGTTTTTTGTAAATACACACATACCAATATTTTCCCCACTGTTTGATAGGACCACACATTTACAGGGTTGTTCACAAAAGGGTAAAGAGTTTGGAGAAGGCAGAAGTGAACAATCTAGGACAACATAGCTGATTTGGAAAAATTCTCCAATTCAGCTCACTTTCCAGTTCAGCTATGTTGTCCTAGATTGTTCACTTCTCCTGCTTTCTCCAAACTCTTCACCCTTTTGTGAATAACCCTGTTAGTCGTTTTGCAAACATGTACTTGATTTAACAATAGCATGCATTTGACATGTGTCCATGAGAAAACTGAAATTGTTTTGTCTATGTTGACGTAACACAGGTACAGTTAACACAGATAAGTCCTCTAGCAACTAACTCTAGTACAACAGCTGTTATCTAGAAATGTATAAAATCTACACATTAAATGTGAGACTGTCTTGTAAACTGCTTACCACATGTATGATGATGGTTTCATTTGCCACAGAGGGTCAGAAGCACCGTTCAAGAATCCAGTCACACCACTCAGCATCACTGGAACATTGCAGCTTTACAACCTAAAGATTCAGGTGCAAAATTAGTACACAAGCCACCATGCCACCAGTGTAAGGAGTCCTTCTGTGCTTGGCATTTCTGTAGTATGTAAATAACTCTAGGAATCTTTGTAGCTGCCTCAAACATGATATTCAATATATCTCGTTCCCAATATTACCAAACAGAAGTGCAAAACTTGTATGACGCCTGAGAAGTCATAACTCATAACTTAAATGACTGTTTGAAAGCAGTAAAATATAGGTAAAATTTAAACTGCAGAAATCCTGAAGCCTTTTCCATTTTATTCAGAGTGCAACGCTGAATTTAATATATATCCAAACAATTTAGCTTAGCGCTAGAAAGAATTCTAACAAAATCGTCTGTGTCTTTTAAAAAAAAATTGTTTATCTTTGAAGCAATTCCCTTGTGCATTGATATTAGAAATTTTGACCTGCTGGGAAATGTTGACACCTGAACTTCAATACGTATGATTTTTCCTGCTGTGAAATTTCCTTTCCTCATAAGACCTGGTTATCTAGAAAGGAAGGTCATAAATAATGGTCTGTCAAAGGCCGATATGACTAGCGAGCTACACAGCATGCTGCTTTAGAAAGTAACATCCTGGCTAAATTATGTGACAAGCACCAGTAAAAGGGGAGGTTTGCTTGTTAGTACAGTAAATGAACAGCAACCTCTTTTGGCAGCTCCAATCAAAGTATGGATCAGCAAACAAGGGCAATTTTCACAGCAGCTGGTTTTGATGCTATTTAAGTCTCAATCTGAAAGCTATTGACAATACTCATCTTCAAGCCAATTTCGATCAAAGTTGTCAAAAATCATAACATTTCAACATTTTGAAAAACTCGGGGGATATCTTTCATCTCTTATAAGTATTTCCTTCTTTTTAGCGCTACGATCCTTGACCTTTGGATATAATCTAGTGAAACCTACAGCGAACATATAGCCTAAAGGCCACCTTCTTGCAATGACATTCAAAAGTGGAAAATTCTTAACATTTTTATATAGAAATTCTCAGTATCCAAGAAGCCACAGCCAGCATATTACTTCTGGGGATTATCCATGCATCAATGCAAAACTTTGAGTATTATCTTCTGTCTGTAAACTAGCATGAGATCTAAGTTCTTAATCAAGTCTCCATCTACTACATGAAAATGTATATATTAGAGTTATTTTTACGCCCATCTTTTTGTTATATATAAATGAAGTAGTGGTTAAAATATCTGCCAGGTGTTTAGTGCTGTCTGTGCCCCCATTGAAAATAAAGTTCAAAGTAAAGCCAACCTTTTTTTGTTTTAGATATAGAAAGAAAAGTTTAGGACTGTCAGTTTTTTATTAGCCAATTGTTTTAGATTTGCATAAATACAGGAAGGAACAGTTTGGAACTGTGTAGTCTTCAATATAGTGCTTGATTGCAAGTAAAACACAATTGTTTATTACACATATTCAGAGAACGTATTATTATAATTTGTATTACTGCTTTAGTTGCTGTTATTATTGTTTTTAGTAGTAAGAAGGTTACAGAAGGTCTCATCCAATCACATATAACAAAAAATAGGAACATTATTCCTCATTTTGATACAGCCATGCAAATCACTGTTTTATTACCCTTTGGCAAGATCTATTTCAAGAACCATTGGTGTATAGTGCAAATATTGTCTAATCTAGTACAAATATACTTAAGTTGCCCATACATAGGCTATTTTAAACTGAAAACAATAGTTGGTATTAGTTTTTCCCAGGGATTACAATCCTCAGTCAGCAATCCAATCTCCATGGACAAAGTATCATTACTATGCCTAATTGGTCAGGTGAGGAAAAATTTTACAATCGTTCTCTTTGCTCCTCCCAAAGTCTTTCCAAGTGGACCTAGAACCCATCATGTTTTTTCTTTACACTTGTGTGCTAATTAATAACATATAAGTAATAATATTAATTACTACTGGAATTCCCTTGACAATGCATTAATTTTCCAGAAAGGGAATCATCAATGCCCTTAGTCTATAATCCAAACGAAGGCCAG